GTCCTAACTGTCAGGAAGTGCTTCCTGGCAGTTAGGACCCCGAGGGTGTGGAATGGGCTTCCACAAGAGGTCGTTGAGGCCCCATCGGTGAGGGTGTTCAAAGATAGGCTGGACATGCACATGGTGGGCATGTTGTGAGCGGAGCCGGCTGGAGCCGGGGGTCAGACTAGATGGCCCGGGAGACCCCTTCTGACTGGCTCTGTTTCTATGTTCTATGTTTCTTTTCAAATAAACATAGGTCGTGGTCCAGAATTGATATGATTTGGATAACCCCAGACTTAGTACCAGACCTGTTAGAAGCTGAAATAGAGACAAATGCCTGGGCAGATTATAACCCTGTAACTATGACATTGAAAGGGACAGTAAAAATGCCCAGATGGATGTTAAATAAAGCCTTATTAAAGGATAAAAAAAATCAAAGAGGAGATAAATAAGGAAATGGAAATATTTTTTCAAATCAATAAGTTTGAAGAAACCTCTTTGCAAAATGTTTGGGACACAGCTAAAGCCTATGTCAGAGGGCTGATAATAACATACTCAGCAAAAATAAAGGAGAAAGCAGGAACGATCTAAGTTAATAGAGGAATTGACGAAGCTTGAACAGGAGCTACAGAAAGATCCATCCAAAAAAGACCTTAAGGTACAAATGAATATTTTAAAACACAAACTGAATCTCTTGGATACAAATGAACTTACCAAGCAAATGAAATTGACTAAACAGAATTTTTTCGAAAATGCTAACAAACCAGGGAGATGGTTAGCTTATAAAGTAAAGAAGGAAAGAGAGAAGAGACTAATATGTAAACTGAAGGATGGAGAAGGAGGATTGCAAGTACAAAGTACACATATTAGAAAAATAGAGGAAGAATTCTTTGCAAAGCTGTACCAGAATAAAGAGACTTCAACTGAGAAAGTTAATGAGTATATCCGAAAGGGAAATCTACCAAAACTACCAGAGAAATACCAAAAAGCACTAAATGAAGAAGTACAATGACGAAAGTAATTGAGGCAATTAAGAGTCAAAAGAATGACAAAACTCCAGACCTGGATGGGTTACCAGCAGAATTCTATAAAACTTTTGAAGGAATCTTGTCTATGCTTCTTCAGGATATATGGAACGCAGATTGCTAGATGCTAAAATACCAAATACTTGGACAGAGGCAAATATTACATTAATACCGAAAGAAGACACGGACTTGACACAGATCCAAAACTATAGACCCATATTACTATTAAATGTGGATTACAAAATTTTTGCCTCTGTAATGGCAGAAAGACTAAAGAAGTATTTAACAGACTTTATACATCCAGACCAAAATGGCTTTTTACCTAAAAGACAAATGAGGAATAATATGAGAATTATCTCGGACATTTTAGAGTATTACGAGGTACATTCTGAAAAATCAATGGCATTGTTATTCATGGATGCACAGAAGGCCTTTGATAATGTTAATTGGCAATTTATGAAGCAACAACTAGTTCAAATGAAGCTTGGTGAAAAATTTATTAATGCGATATTAAGCATCTATCAAAAACAGTCTGCTAGGATTATAATTAATGGAGAATTTACAAACACTATAGACATACAAAAGGGCACAAGGCAAGGATGCCCTTTATCACCACTGCTGTTTATATTGATCTTAGAAGTGTTAAACGGAAATATGGATATTAAAGGCACTAGAATTAGAGATGAAAGCTATAAATTGCAAGCATTTGCAGTTGACTTAGTTTTTATAATTGAGGAACCCTTGGTAACAATGTCTAAACTTTTTTTGTTTGATTGAAGAATATGGCGATGTTACTGGGATGAAAATAAACAGAGATGAGACGAAATTGTTAGTAAAAAAATCTTACACTGGAGCAAGAAAAAATCTGGTGGAACAAGTAGAACTTCAAATTGCTAGAAAGGTTAAATATTTGGGAATTTTTCTTACAGCTAAGTGCACTACATTGAAAGAAAACGATTATGATAAACTATTTAAGGAAATTAAGAGTGATTTGGAAAAATGGGCTAATTTGAAATTATCCTTGTTGGGAAGAACAGCGCTAGTTAAAATGAATATATTACCAAAGCTTTTGTTTTTATTCCAAATGATTCCCATAAAAATTGATAAAAAATTATTTGACGATTTAAATATCCAAATCTCAAGATTTATATGGAAAAAGAAAAAACCAAGGATTAAATCAAAAATGCTACAGGAGGCTAAAGGGAACGGGGTTTTGGTCTTCCTGATTGGATGTTGTATTATCAAGCTTCTGTTTTAACGTGGCTAAAAGAATGGGTAACCTTAAGAAATAAGAGAATCTTGTATTTTGAAGGGCATGATTTGCAAATGGGTTAGCATGCCTATATGTGGTATGAAACGGCTAAGGAACATGGCTCTTTTTTAAGTCATTATATTGGGAAATCATTAATGTTGGTGTGGGAAAAGTTAAAGATAAAACTGTATACTAAATTACCAAGATGGCTCTCACCTATGGAAGCTCTTGTATATCCAAATGCATTGAATTTTGATACAATTGTGAGATATGATGACATTTTGGATAATGATGGAGGATTGCAATTGAATCAAGAAATACAAGAACAAGGAATTAATATTTCTTGGTGGCACAAGGTTCAGATGCAATCGAGATATGCTAAAGACTATAGAATGTGGGGCTTCTAGAAGGAGTTAACAGCATTTAACCACGTGATTTTCAAATCAGATGAGAAAATGATTAAAAGATTGTATAATTTTCTTCTAGATAGGAGAATGGAAGATGAACAGGTTAAGAAAACTATGATAATGTAGGCACAAAATTTTGGAAATAATACTGAGTTAGAGAAATGGCAAAAGCTGTGGGAAAGAAATATTAAAGTAAAATTAGCAACTTCATACAAAGAAAACCTGTATAAAATGTTTTATAGATGGCATTTGTCGCCAAATAGGTTAGCTAAGATGTTTCCAAATATGTCAAATGGATGTTGGAAATGTAAACACAAACCGGGTACTTTTTATCATATGTGGTGGACCCGTGATAAGGCAAAAAAATATTGGATTAAAATATATAAATGGCTTGAGGAAATGTTACAAAAATCTCTAACATTTAAACCTGAAGTTTTCTTATTAGGCATTATACCTGATGATCTTAACAAACAAGCAATGTATTTGACTCTACATGTAACTACGGCGGCGAGGATTGCATTTACCCAACATTGGAAGGATGAAGAGCCACCTACAAATGAACTGATTCTAAAAAAGATCTTGGACTGTGCAGAAATGGACAGATGGATTTTGTCTCTGAAGGAGAAAGCAGATACATACTTCTATCAAACTTGGGATTCTTTTTATCATTGGCTAGAGAAATGGGACTATGCATAGATTTACATAAGTTTATAGTTTAACATAAAAAGAAAAAATGTGGGGGGCTGACCCAGCAGGTCCAATGTTCTCGATGATTGATGTTGTTTTTAGTTTCTTTTTTGTTAGGTTTATTAAGAATAAAACTTATTCAGAGGAGACAGAGTACCCGAAGGAGGGCCTTCTCTGCGGTGGCACCCCGTCTATGGAATACGCTGCCCAGAGAGCTCCGCCTGGCACCATCAGTATATGTTTTTCTGTGCCAGGTTAAGAGGTTTTTATTTAATCAATATTTTAACAAGTTTTAATATTGAATTTTATTACCATATTTTAATTGCAGCCAGAGTGGGTCGTTAATTTATTTATATTATACTATTGTGTATTGATATTTTATTCGTGTAAGCTGTCCTGAGGCTCTTGCAAAGGACGGCATACAAATATCTTAAATAAATAAAGCAGTGCTATGCTTCCAACAGTTAGCCAACTTAGCCCATATTAAAAAGACATTGTGGCATCTAATACATATGAAACAAAAGTTTTTGCTGAATAAGAAGCAACACTTTTTAGATGGATGCCAATGCAGCAATCCATTGATTGGATAGAACAGGACAGTCCACTTCCTTATTCCATTCCTGCTTGCTCTTGTTGCACCTTAAAAGCCTCCTCACCACTCTTTTAGTTGAGCCAAAGCATTACATAGCTGAAAAAGCATTACATAGCTGAAAAAGTGGACTTAATTAAACAATTGTTGTTAATTTACAAAACAAATATGGAGTATGAATAATAATACCAAAATAAAGAATGTAGTATACATTGGCAAAGATGTTTTTTTCCCCCTACAAATTGGATTCTCTTTTTCTAGACAGGGAGTTGATTTTCTTCTCTCTCTAAACATTCTCTATCGCTACCCAAAATATTTCATCAATCAGATACTTACAGTTATATCACTTTTTATAAATATTCTGTGCTATTTTCCTGTATATGGATGATTTGTTTCATCATTTAGTTGGCAGGGGTTTTCCCAAGCATATATTAAGTATGATATACAGTGGTACTTCGGCTCATGAACACCTCGGCTCACGAACAAATCGGGTCACTAACAAAAATTACTGAAAAATTTTTACTTGGGTCATGAACACTGCTTTGGGTAGCGACAAAGATGGCAGCCATCTCCCCCCCACCCCCAGTGGGGAGATGGCCACGATCACAATTCCACTCATGCAGGGAAGGCGTCCGTGATCAGATGCATGCTGCTGCACTAAAGACGAGTGCAGCAAAGCAGAGCCATGGGGGAGATTGCTGAGAATCCGCTTGTCATTCGTGCAGCCGCATGCCTCGGATCACAGATCGCAGTTGCTTTCATGCAGGAAAGGTGTCTGTGATCAGAGGCACGTGGCTGCACGAATGACAAGCGGATTCTCGGCAATCTGACCCGCGGCTCTGTTTTGCTTCACCCATCTTTAGTGCAGCTGCGCTTCTCTGATCATGGATCACAGTTGCTTTCGTGCAGGGAAGGCGTCCGTGATCAGGGGTGCGCTGCTGCAAGAAAGACAGGAGCTGCAAAGCAGAGCTGCGGGGGAGGTGGCTGAGATTCTGCCTGTCTTTCCTGCAGCAGCGTGCCTCTGATGAGGCACACCTTCCCTGCACAAATGGAACTGCAATCGAGGCCATCTCCCCACCCTCAGTGCACTGTTTGCACCCATCTCTCCCTCCCCCGGTGCGCTCGCAATCATGCCCGTCTCTCCCCCCACTCCCCAGTGTGCCAGAATGATGGGTGCCTGCAGGGATGATGAGCATGTGCAGGGATGACAGACGCAATCTCGGTCGTGCTGGGGGCGGGAGCATGGAGATGGCCGCGCTTGTGCTCGGGGTGTGGGGAGGGGGGAGATGGCCGTGATCTTTGTTGTTGTCACTTTGCTTCACATTTTTCTGATTTAAAAAATGGTAACAGAATGGATTAACCTTATTTACATTGAACCTTATGGGGAAATTTAACTTGGCTCATGACCAAATTGGGTCATGACCAGAGTCCTGGAACAGATTAAGTTTGTGAGCCAAGGTACCACTGTATATGAAGTATTTTCCCTAAATCATTCAAATATTTGTGCCCAAATTCCCTATCTGAACTACTGCTGTAGTTCACATCATCATGTGACCATAATAAATCCTTGATTCAGTAAAGAGGAGACTATCAGGTTTCCAAGGAAAGCCCTTATCAAAGAGAGACTGAATGCCAGATCTGGTTTTAAACACTATTCATGTAACATTTATTCTATGATATGAAGAATAAAGAAGTATAAGAATACACGTTCATCAATCATCAGCAACAATATCAAGAGGCCTCATTCACACTTGCATTCATGCAACACTCATACTCACAGCCAATAGACCCTCTCGGTGATCCACTGGGACTGTGGATGACCAGTAGTAGCGCTGTTCTGGCACACACGGGAGCTGGAAAGCCCAGTCATTTTATACCTTAAAGTTGACTCTATCAGCTTAGTCCAACTGGATCAAACCGTGAACTCCTCTGAGCAGAGCTGACACACAGAATGTACTGGTCTTTATCTTGAACACACGCACTCTTGTCACATTCCATTCTCTCTCTGGATGGTACAGTGTGGGCTTATCTTATCTGTTATGTTCCATTCTCCAACCACTCCCGGCCTCTCCATTTTGCTGCAAAAATACTCAGTCCTGGTCAGTCCCATAAAGCTTTTCAATTCTCCATTTTCTTCTGGGTTTTTAGGCCTTCAGGAACCCATGCACACTGTAACAGTCAATCTTCATAATGCTTATTTGTTTATCTATTTCTTAGATTTTATAACAAATTCAAAGCAGCTTACACCATTCTCCTCCTGCTGCTCTCAATCTTATCCCCACAACAACAATCCTGTGAGGTAGGTTGCGGTAAGAGTCGGTGACTGGCCCAGTTGGATCCATGGCTGAGCAGGGACTAGAACCTAGAAGACCTGAGTCTCAGTCCTGCACCCTTACCCATTATACCACACTGGCTATATTGCAAACAAGAGAGCCAATTTGGCTAATACGGTAGGATATAAATAGATAAATAAACATTTTAAAAAAAAAGACAAAAGACCTTGTTGCATTGTGGTTGAAAGGGGTGTGGTGCTGGCAGTGTTGGCACCCTCGTCCTCATTCTTGAGGAAGGTGAAACATTGAAAAGGACTGGAAGCCTCTAAAATGTCTCAATTAAGCTTAGATCTCCTCAGGCAATGATTTACAATGAATATTCAAGGAAATCAGTGTAAGAAAAACATCTCCCTTCTTTCTTCAAGCTTTTCAGAAAGATAAAAGACAAAGAAGATTAAGAGACTAAAAGTCAACCAGAGTAGTCACAGTAGTTTTCATGTTAGTGGGATGCATATATATTAAAGGAAAAATCTCCAGAAAGGTAACTGGAGAGGCAATTAAAAGAAATACAGACCTAGATGATAAAAATGCAGGTGGCTTAAGAGTTCCTCAAGGAGATATGGAATAGTGCCTTCCTCCACAAAAGACCAAATTAAAGCAGAATATTAAATTTTGCTCCTTCATGGATCACTGCCTTGTCATGGCGAAGGGGCTTGCGTAGCTCAATGAAGCTATGAGCTATGCCGTGCAGGGTCACCCAAGACGGACAAGTCATAGCAGAGAGCTCTGACAAAACGTGATCCACTGGAGAAGGAAATGGCAACCCACTCCAGAATCTTTGCCATGAAAACCCCATGGACAGTACCAAAAGGCAAAAAGATATGACGCCGGAAGATGAGCCCCTCAGGTCAAAAGGTGTCCAATATGCTACTGGGGAAGAGCAGAGGGCTAGTATTAGTAGCACCAGAAAGAATGAAGCGACTGGGTCAAAGCCAAAAGGACACTTAGTTGCAGATGTATCTGGTGGTGAAAGGAGAGTCTGATTCTGTAAAGATCTATACTCCATAGGAACCTGGAATGTAAGATCCATGAATCAAGGCAAGCTGGATGTGGTCAAACAAGAGAGGACAAGACTGAACATCTACATCTTAGGAATCACTGAACTAAAATGGACAGGAATGGGTGAATTTAATTCAGAGGACCATCAGCTATACTACTGTGAGCAAGAATCCCTCCAAAGAAATGGAGTAGCCTTCATAGTCAATAAAAGAGTAGGAAAAGCAGTACTAGGATACAATATCCAAAATGACAGAATGATCTCAGTTCGAATCCAAGGCATTCAACACCACAGTAGTCCAAGTCTGTGCCCCAACCACTGATGCTGAAGAGGCTGAAGTTGACCGGTTCTATGAAGGCCTACAACACCTTCTAGAATTAACACCAAAAAATGATGTCCTTATCATCATGGGGGATTGGAATGCTGAAGTAGGAAGCCAAAAGATAACTGGAATAACAGGCAAGTTTGGCCTTGGAGTACAAAATGAAGCAGGGCACAGGCTGGTAGAATTATGTCAAGAGAATACGATGGTCACAGCAAACACTCTTTTCCAACAACCCAGGAGGCGACTCTACACATGAACATGACCAGACAGTCAACACAGAAATCAGATTGACTATGTGCTCTGCAGCCAAAGATGAAGAAGCTCTACACAGTCAGTAAAAACTAGACCAGGAGCAGACTGTGGCTCAGATCATGAGCTTCTTGTTGCAAAATTTAGGCTTAAATTGAAGAAAGTAGGGAAAGTGCTAGTCCACTCAGGTATAACCTAAATCATATCCCTGATGAATATACAGTAGAGGTGACAAATAGATTTAGGGAATTAGATCTGATAGACAGAGTGCCTGAAGAACTATGGACGGAGGTTCGCAGCATTGTCCAAGAGGTAGCAACTAAAACCATCCCAACGAAATGCAAGAAAGCAAAATGGCTGCCTGAAGAAGCTTTACAAATAGCTGAGGAAAGAAGGGAAGTGAAAGGCAAGGGAGAAAGAGAAAGATACACCCAATTGAATGCAGAATTCCAGAGAAAAGCTAGAAGAGATAAGAATGCCTTCTTAAATGAACAGTGCAAAGAAATAGAAGAAAACAATAGACTAAGGAGGACCAGAGATCTCTTCAAGAAAATTGGAGATATGAAGGAAATGTTTCATGCAAA